AATCCGAATAAAAAATTATGTCTGTCAAAATGATTCAACTTTCTCATTAGTACTGTGCAACAAGATAAAAAAAAATATGCAGTACTTTATGAGAAAATACAAAAAGCACAACACGTTTATGAGATTAATTAAAAAACCCTCGTTTTGTACCTATAATGGTCACATTCCAATATGTAATGATATATTTGAAACTGAATCTTTGGTGTGCCAGATAGTACAGTAAAATAAAAGTTTGTTTTCGCTTGAATCCGTTCATTTAGTTTTTGAAAACATTGAATTTTGTTGATTTGTTATCAAAATTGATCGTGAAAGATTGGGCAACGCATTATCTTGATCGTGAAAGACAAGGCGTGACCAGACAGACGCAGGACGTTTTCGCTATTTCACATGTAACACTAAAGGACATTTGCGCTTCAAACTCTATGGACATTTGCGCTTTAAACTTTGATACACCTGAACAAAATTGACAAGACATGTGCGCTTTTTACCTATAATAGATTACCTGTAATATTTAGAAAATTTACCAAAGATGTTCACATATTCTTTGAAAACTCTTCCGGACAAACAACAAAATCAGAAAAAAATTATTCGGGTAAACCAGACATATATAGTATACGTTTCTGGGTAAACGATAGAGAAAAGGAAACTTTTATGGATGGAACATTTAAAATTTGCATTGGCTATTCTTCCGGCTAGCCGGAAAAATAGCAAAAAATGACTATACTTCCGGCAAACCGGAAGAATACCTTTTCTCTGCTATTATGCTATTATTCCAGCCATACATGACCATTAATAATGAATATGCGTTTGGTTAAGTGGTTATAGGAGCATCCAATGGAGAAAGTAGTGGCCAAAAATTTCCTCCCTTGGCTAAAAATTGAACAAAAAGTTTCCATTCACTTAAACAAATCAAAATGCAAATACATTTACCTCACAGTATACAGTATATTCAGATTTTTTTATTCTAAGGGAAAAAGGGGGGAAATGCCTCTCCTCTTTAAAATTCTACCTATGAATTTCCAGCAAGATTAGGGTCGGGCCACTGATTTATGGCTAGTGGACATCTTTGATTCCTAAAGAAGAACCCGAAGTAATCATTTCCTTGAAATTTGGTTCCAAGTAAGTCGTAAAATGATTTTTGCACAATATTTTTTTATTTACAATTTACAGTGATTTTTAACACAAAGAAATAAGAAAAAGTGTTAATTGTCCCCAAAGTAAGACTGTGTTCATGATAGCAAAAATATAACATTTTTGTAATGAGAAAATGAATAAAACGGAATGAAATAGGGTGGGGGTTATACCCCAACCCTGGTATACTATTCCAAGTCAAGATATATCAGTAGTGCATGTTCATATATCTCTGTTGTAGAAGAACCAAAATATAATGCATCCCAGTATATTTTATTTAGTCGTTTTCCTGTTAATTGTTTTGTGCATTTTGTCTCCATTGATACAGTTAAAGCAAGGATTTGTATAGTTAGACCATACAGTCTTTGATTAAGGTAAATGGGGTAAATCAGCGATTTCATTTGGATTTCATGCTTTATTCCTCTCAGTTTACGTGCACACGCTATTGTTCTGGAGTCTGTTCTATAGAATTTTGTTTTAAAAGCAATCACATTCTCTCTAATTTACTTTAGGACATCTTTAAATATAATTCTGATTTCCGATTCTCAAAACATCCATTGCATACGCGCTTTTGTTATCCGACACCTCATCCGGAACACATTCCGCGAAACATGACACTGCCGTTGATATTGTACATTTACGCATGCGCAAACGGATGGCCGGAAAAAATAGAGACTTTTATCTATTCTTCCGGCTAGCCGGAACAATAGAAACTCCGTTTAAATTTTGACCTAAATTCTTCAATTAGCTTTCTTATTAGTGGATTAAAATTGGAAAATCATATTCCTCTTGTGGTTATTCTGGTGCCTGAATAGTTAGAGGAGCTGTACCATCATATTTCACTAAGATTGTTTCAATTTGTGATGACTGAAATTTTATTTCTAAACCACGGTACCTGCTGACTTTTAGAAAGACTCATGGTTGTTATATGGAATTTACTCCCATCCACCCTTTTGGATTGTTGTCGTTTTCATCTGACACAAGAATGATGGGGAAAGGTTGATACTTTTAGTTGTATATAGATATATGAATAGTTTGTGTTTTTTTTTTCTTTATATATCAAATGATTTTTTTATGTTATGTTGATATAGCGCAAATATCCTCTTGAAAAAACGCAAATGTCCTAAATATTTAAGCTCATTTCCTATCAAAAAGCGCAAACGTCCCGCGACGGACCAGACTTAATAATCAGAAGACAATATTTCTTCTACCAACTGATAAACTTGCAACTAGTTGAAGCGTGTAATTCTTTTAATAAGAACGAACATTAATGCTTTCGTCTTTTTTTCACTTCTTTTTAATTCAACACTTTTCCTTAAAAGTTATTAAAATAAGTAAAAACGTGTCGAAATAAGTAGATTTCCAAGATAAAAGGACCTTCAGGAGCGTCAATTTTCGAAAAGTAAAGGTACATTTGTACCCATTTCCATTCTCAATTTTTTTACTATAATGCTTAATGCATCCACCCTGAAAATATATGCATGTGTACGCATTTTGTTTTGTTGTTTTTTTTTGTGTAAGGGTTGTTACTTTCAGTTATATGGAGTGTCGTTCGTGTGTACATATTATGACAATATTGGCTAATTTATTGTTTATTTCGTGGCTGCGCTGACATAAACTTGCAAGGTACCAAGATAACGTTATTTTTACTTGATTGTTTGATCAGTCTGTTCACAATAGCTATACGTCATTGTACCAACCAGGTGGAGAAATTACCATTCATATACCTCGCGATCGATTGTGCATGATGCCCAGCTTGAACTGTAATTTTGCCGATTAGGTTCTATTCTCAATCTTAATTTGTATAAGAAATCAAAACTTACGAAGGACGGACAAAAATACTAATATTGCTATAAAGCACCTAGTCGGTGTGGTATTATAAGATAATCAGATACAATGGCATTGAACGATTATGGCCCTATTCACCAACAAAAGAGAACCGGAATTAGGTATGCAAAAGAGAACCGGAATGAGGTATGCAAATCCAATTGCTATACCAATTAAACATATAAATTATCACATAACTGAAGAATGATTTGAACGTTTTCGTAGCATCAGATCTTTCACAATTTATTTCACGATCTTAAAAAAGCGGAACGCAATCTTTCACGATCCAAAAAATATTTTTTTTCTAGATTTTTCATTTTTTGCAAAATTTCTGATTAAGCTAACACAAAATAACTGTAAGAACCATTTGAATCATCGAAATGGAATGACCAGTTTCAAAGAAAAGTTGTTTAGTCATTCGAATTATGAAAAAAAATCTTGTTTGTTTACATATTTAATGTCATTGAAATGTCGAGGAGCAATCTGCCTTTTGTAGTTTTGAAAAAAAAAGGTTTACTTTTGAATCTTGATTTTCTCAGATACTGATCATAATGTTGAACCATTTTGCCAGACAGTCTTATTTTAATTTTTTTGTTGTTGTAAATTTGTCCGTATAACTCATTAAATTATATTTGAAATTGACCTTGCATATTCCTTCTCGATAGGATTTCCTTCACGATCCTATACCAGAGCTTTCACGATCCAATCCTAATACTTTACCACCGTTAGGTATTCTTTCACGATCTTTTTTCTCGATATACCGAATTACAGCCGTGTTATTGATGCAAAATCAATATTTTTAATAAGAAAATGTGGTACGATTGCCAATGAGACAACTCTCAAGAAGATACCAAATGACACAGAAATAAACAACTATGGGTCACCGTAGACCTTCAACAATGAACAAAGCCTATACCGTATGGTCAGCTATAAAAGGCCCCGAAATGACAAATGTAAAACAATTCAAATGAGAAAACTAACGGTCTAATTTATGTTCAAAATAATGAACGAAAAACAATATGTTACACAGCAGCATACGACAATTACTGAATTACAGGCTCCTGACTTCGGACAGGCACATACAGAATATGGCGGGGTTAAACTAGGTTGTTGGCGCCAAACCGTACCCCTAACTTAGGACAGTGGTATAACAGTACAAAATAAGAACATACTATAAACATTAGTTGAGAAAGGCTTAACCCATCAGATGTATACAAATAGAAATACATCTAACAAAATCACAGAGTGGACGTGGACTGGTACTTATATATCCACACAACAGAAAGGCACTAAGTACATATCTGAGAGTATTCGTAGTTACTGATAGCTAGATCAAATCCAATAACAACTAATGATAAAAATCAAGCATCTTAGACTATTTCTGAAAGATGGTTGATAACTGGTAACTGATTAATTGCAATCAGTGTTGCGAGTCTAGGAATTGTGAAAAATAGTAAACAAAAACATCACATAAAAATTAATGGATTATAACGGATCAAAACTGTGTCAAATGTATGTGTTCCGTATATTTACTTTAAATTTCTCTTTCTGTATTTCTATTTTGAATTCGTTATTAAATAATAAATAGAGGGACAAATGTACATAATGTAAAAGGAACACAAAGTATAGATTGTTCACATAGTTCATATCGATGCATCTTCACTTTAATGTTATAAAATACTTTATTAAACAGTATTTATTAAAAAATCAAAACTAGCCTATATTTGAACAAACGAAACCTGAAAAAGCATGCACATTAATATAAGTCAATTTAATGACGTCACAACTAACTTCTTTCATCAAGATTTGGTTGATATTAATTTTCTTTAATTATGTTTTCTGATGTTTTAAAATGTGTTGGTTGTTGTTTGAGAAGCGTTTAATAAAAGATACAATTGGTATTCATATAACTCTTTATTACGACATGTATGAGAGAGTTTCTTATTGCAACCAGCATTTGTTAAAAACAAATGTCATAGAAAAACGATATATCAAACAATTGTGTAATAAAGGATGATAAGTAAAATTAAACAAATTCTTACAACCATAATCATATCTACATTACACATTTCATTCTGTAGATTCTATTCTCAAATGTTAACAAATGTTCGAAAAGCAAAACAAATGCTCTCCTTAGGCAAACTCAAACATACGTTGTTATCAATGATTATAATACTGATGATAAACAATGACATATGATTTGTGTTCACATGATTGATTTTCCGCGTATCAAATATTGTAAAAATATAAATATAAGATATGAGAAACATTTCAGGATCAATGGCAGAAAAGGTAACGAACGTTTTATCATATGTGAACTAAACAAAAAAAGCGAAGAAATAAAAATAAAGAAATAACAAGTAAGGTAAATATGGCGTGTCAAACGTTGCAATATTCACAAAAAATTAGATATATGTTCATAAAATTAAATAATTGTTCGTAAAATCGAGTATATGTTAATGAAAGCAAAATATATATTCAAAAAATCAATGTATGTGTTCATAAAATAAAATATATATGCATAAAACATAGATATATGTTCATTAAAAAAAATATTTGTTCTTAAAAATATTATAAATATTCATATAAACAAATAATTGTTCATAAAAAAAAACAATTGTTCATTAAAAAGAAATATTTGTTCATAGAATAAAATAATTGTTCATAAAAGTTGAATATATATTCATAAAAAGTTCAATATACAGTTGGGTGCAGACTTAGCATTACATAAAGTAAACGCATGTTAACGCCGCGTGCACATATTTCGTTAGTTAACTTCAATTTTCGCGTTTACTAGTAAACGCGCGTTTACTATAATTACGTTAACGCGGTCAAAATGGAAATTTCTTATGTCTACCCGAGTAAACGCGCGTTTACTCTGTGTCCATTTAGTCAGAAGTAAACGGTAGTTTACTTCAGATTTCACAAGTTTATTTTTACGTGCACTTAAAAGTAAACGGCCGTTTACTACAGATTTCTCAAGTGTATTTTTACGTGCACTTGAAAGTAAACGCGCGTTCACTTTTCGCGTTAACTGATTGTGTAAATTATGAAATGAACTTCGTGTACATTTGTACATTTAATTTATTTTGTTAAAACGACTTTTATCTTAATATTTTGCGTATATGTGTTTAAAACCAAAACTATTATAAAAAAACTTTTAATTCGAAATATTAACTTTTATTTATTGCAAAAAATCAGTTCCAATAACTTTAAGTAGCGGATTTTCTATATTTTCTTTTCAAAAGTTATGTTCAAATATCGAATTTCCACTATGACGGAAAAATGCATGTAAACCCTTTCTAGAAACTTATCTGTATAGATATTATACACATTTCAAAAAATCTTTTTCATTTCATATTCTTATAAACATTAAATAATGGCTATAAAATTAGACACTTCTGATCGACAAATATGCAAGCAGCTATCATAAAAGAAAGGAAATGTTTTTTTTTTAATTAGAAGGCGGATAGAAAGGTTATCCAACGCATCGGAAAAATATTTTTATATGATGTGATATAAACATCATGGTTGACGTTGCTTCGTTCCCCATTTTTAACAGTCTCTTCCTAAATATAACTGCATTTAATACATGGATTTTTCATCGTAATTCACCTTGTGTGCCTTAGATTTACGATTCTGTTTTTGCCAAATTTTCAAACGAAAATTGTACAATGTAGGGATATCAATAAGGTGTTGTATAATTATGTACCATCTCGTCAATTTAGACAGACTTACCGATTATAAATGATATCTGGGACGTCCGATAAAATATACTCGTTCTGAACATAAATGAAATATTTGCCCCTGGAGGTTAAGCTACAAACAAAAGCAATCAACCGACATAATATACTAACAGTATACTATTCCAAGAAGAGAACTTCTCATACTTTTCATTATAAAGTACAAATGAAATCAGTCATCATGGTCATGTCAGTGTTGGATGTTCTCGTTAAATAGTTATGTTTTAAATACAAACCATCCCGAACTACTGACTTTAATGATGGTCATTATTATATGGATACGGAGAGGAAATGCTGGTACTCTAAATTGGTGCGGAAAATTTGTTATAGTCATTGTGTTCTAATATTGCTGTCATCTTTATTATACAATCCATCCTGACATAGAAATATTACTGATTTACTATGAGGCTATATATATTTACAAAATAAAGTGCAAATATGGTCAGTTTTGGTTGATGCGGACAAATAATTTTGTTATACGAGTCAGCCTGAGGTATCAAAACTACTGAAATTTTTTTACGACTCAATATTTTGAATGAAAAGTGGACATGCTGGCACTCTAAATTGATGTGGACAAAATTTTGTAGTCATTGTGTTTCAATATTGCTGTCATCTTTATTATACAATACATCCTGACATAAAAATATTACTGATTTACTATGCGACTATAAAATTTACATAATAAAGTGCAAATATGGTCAGTTTTGGTTCATGCGGACAAATAATTTTGTTATGCGAGTCAGCCTGAGATATCAAAAATACTGAAATTTGTTTACGATATAATATTTTGAAAAGAAAGAGGACATGCTGGCACTCTAAATTGATGTTGACAAAATTTTGTAGTCATTGTGTTCCAATATTGCTGTCATTTCTATTATGCAATCCATCCTGACATAAAAATATTATTGATTTACTATTCGACTATAAGATTTACATACTAAAGTGCAAATATGGTCAGTTTTGGTTGATGCGGACAAATAATTTTGTTATACGAGTCAGCCTGAAGTATCAAAACAACTGATTTTTTTTTACTATTCAATATTTTGAATTAAAAGAGAACATGCTGGAACTCTAGATTGATGCAGACAAAATTTTGTAATCATTGTGTTATAATATTGCTGTCATTTGTATTATACAATCCATCCTGACATAGAAATATTACCGATTTACTATGAGGCTATAATAGATTTACATAATAAAGTGCAAATATGGTCAGTTTTAGTTGATGCGGACTAAAAATTTTGTTATATTTGAGCCAGTCTGAGATGTGAAAACTGCTGTATTTTTGTGATGATTTAATTATTTGAATAAAAGGAGGACGTGCTTGAACTGTTTATTTGTGCAGAAACAGAAATATACTATGATTAATTTTCAATTAATTAAAGAGGTGTAATAACCTTAACTGTAATCGTCAATATGTCAATAAAAAATGACCAGTTGGTCATTTAATTTTGATGTTTACCTTATCATTTGATATGTAAGGTCAGTGTATCCAGGATACGATGACAAACAGTAAACGTGCGTTTACTTTTTACGAAAATAGAAGACGCGCCTTTTTTCACGTTAACGCGGAAGTGAACGCGAAAGTAAACGCCCGTTTACTCTTTACAAAATAAGAAGACGCGCCATTTTCGTGTTAACGCGGAAGTAAACTCGAAAGTAAACGCCCGTTTACTTTTTATGTCTACTGAAATTTCGGAGTTAACGCACAGTTAACGCGGCGTTTACATGAAGTGCACGCGAGTAAACGCCGCGTTAACTTTTCCGCCCGTCTACATGTAATGCTTGGGCTGCACCCAACTGTATATTCATAAATATTGCATTTGTACGATGGTCTTTGAAACGCGCATCCTTTAATTTAAAAATTTATAAATACGTTTAATAATTTGCATCATGGATACCTCGTTGCTTTTGTAACAGTGTATTTGATTGGGTATTCTCTGAAACCAGACCGGACGGGACTTTGGACCCGGACTATTGTCTGAAACCCGGACCCGGACTAGATACCGGACCAGCACTGAGAAAATTATGGGGAAAAATTTAAAGTGTTTAAATTTACTAGCATTAAGTTCTCCTTTATGTGTACCCTACTGAGGGGAAGGAAGTTATTTTTTGGGAGCACTGATAAGGGATGTATGTTGGCGAGACAGAACAGCCATTCAACAAACGCATGGATGGTCATCGAAGTGACTACACCTGCAAGCCCGACCTCCCCGTAAGTCGCCCAAGCTGATCTCAAAAACCTTACCATCACTATCATAGACCACAACGAGGGTTGGTCAAGGGCCGACAGACTTGCTCAGGAATGTTTTTGGATAAGAAAGTTAAGGACAGTTTCCCCAGAGGGCATTATTGAAAAAACATGTTCTATATATTTATATAAGCACTTCTCAAGCGGATTGTCGTTATTTTAGAGAAGATAAAATCCGGATTCGGGTTTCAGACCAAAGTCCGGGTCCGCAGTCCCGCACGGTCCGGGTTTCAGAGTGTACCCAATCAAATACACTGCAACAAAAACAACGAGGAATCCCATGATGCAAATTATTGAACGTATTTATAAATTTTTCAGAACATATATTTTACTTTATGAACACATATTTCTATTTTTTGGAATGAAAATTTTGTGTTTATGAATATGTATTGAACTTTTCATGAATGTATATTTAACTTTTTATGAATATATATTTAACTTTGATGAACAAGTATTTAAATTTTATGATAAAGAATTTAAATTTTATGAACAAGTATTCAAATTTTATGAACAAGTACCCCGGTATTTAAATGTTATGAACAATCATTTATCTTAATGTTCGTTGTTATGAAAATATATTTGTTTAATGAACATATATACATTTTTTGAGAAAATACATTTGTTTTGTGAACAATTATTTATGTTTTATGCTTTATATATTTTATTTTATGAACACATATTTTGATATTTGAATATATATTTTGTTTTTATGAACATACATTTTTGTATATTCGTTTTTATGTACAAATAATTTAACTTTTTGAACGTATATTTTACTTTTTGTGAATATTGCAACGTTTTACACGCCATAGGTAAACGTTTATGAAACACAAAGGCATTGATATGAAACGCAGGAGAATAAACGTTTTGATCAAGTTATACAGTCTTCAGAGATAGACATGCTTCACAAGTTTGAAGAAAATGAGTGTACGTTCTTGCTTCGACTTATGTGTCTTTGTAGGCATACATATATGTTAAATAATGCTCTGATCTATGCATTTAGCGACTCAACGACAAAACTTAGTATTTAATGTTGATTCATAAACGAGTAAGAGTTTATTGGTATCCTTTATCTTAAGCTACGATGTAGACGAAATATTATACTACATGTTTGTTTTTGTTTCAAACATTTATAAAAACGGATGATTGAAATATTATTTCAGTATTATTAATCGGTTTGGTTCAATTTTGGAAAAATAAGTTTAAAAACATTGCTGTTATATGCTTGCAAGTCAACAATCCAACTTACTTCATGTCGTAAGTAACTGATTTACATTTAATCTATATGTTTTTATCTATAAAATTATTTCAAACAGCACTAAGAAAATCGACCGTATATACTGTTGTACGTGCTTTCCTGTTATACGCATTCTATGTTTACCTGTCTGTATTAGTTAATAAACACATGCACATCGACAGTTCTCGTGGCTCCTGTTGATAGTCATTTATACGACGTCCAGTAAGAATACACACGCAATGTTAAAACTTTAAGATTCCAGACAATGTGTTCGGTTTTCTAATGAATTTGAAATAAAAGCACATTATGCCACTTTGAGGTTTACCTTTCGACGATTGACCTTATACAACTAAAGCAAGTTATGTTAAAATGTGAACTAACCTGTCAGGAACCTGATGTTCAGTGGTTGTCGTTTGTTTATGTGGTTCATAAGTGTTTCTCGTTTCTCGTTTTTTATATAGATTAGACTGTTGGTTTTCCTGTTTGTATGGTTTAAAACTAGTCATTTTTGGAGCCCTTTATAGCTTGCTGTTCGGTATGAGCCAAGGCTCCGTGCTGAAGGCCGTACTTTGACCTATAATGGTTTACTTTTACAAATTTTGACTTGGATGGAGAGTTGTCTCATTGGCACTCATACCACATCTTCTTATATCTATAAATCACCGGCGTATTTTAAAAATCTACCAATAAATCTTGTTTAATAACAAGGATGTATTAAAGTAGAATAAGAATACTAACAGAGTGTGACGAATATATAAATAAGGGAAAAAAGTGGGGGTAAGTGGAAAAATCGTAAATCAAGAGAAGCTGTCAACGCCTCGGCAAAATAAAAACCACGACAAACAAGATAATATTACCAATTAACGGAAATTTAAGCAACACGAACCCTATCAAAACCCGAGGCGATCTTAGGTGCTTCGGAAAGGCAAACAAATCTCCACTAGTGACACAAATCGTGTTACTAATGGTAAATACACATTCGATGATAAGTATCATTCAATGATTCCACCATCGGCCAAAAAGGGGACGTAACTCGTGAGGGCGTCTGCAAAACTTTGAAAGGGATGACTTCAACTTCACCACTTGAAACCTTCCTTGTAGACAGGACGCCTTTATCAATAACATCATTGTAGGAAACGCAAGCTCTTTGATATCGAATCAACTGGGAAATATACATGTATACTTCACATGCAGGCACTGCAGGAATGTTCTTATATAGAGATGAAAAGTTTACAATTTGAAAGTTGAAATCACTAGAATAAACGTATTTATTTGTTTCAACGTTCTTAACCTTGAAAATTAATTTACTATTTAATACATCTTTGACTGCCAATATGATATATTTTCTTTCTTGGCCAAGTTAAAACACACCGTTGCAAACGGGCCTTAGATACTAGCGATAATTTGTTATCTAAAGCGAGAGTAAGATATGAAATATTATCACATAAAAAAACATAAAGCGATAAATACACTCATTAGGATAACTGATAAAGTGTGCATCTGTATGTGTTTTAGAATTATGTGAAGATATGTACGCGTGTTTGTTCGATATGTTTTAAAGCATATAAAATATTTATAAATGCAAAACATGTTTTGTAGAAGAAGCCTTTAAAACAGAAGTTGTTATATTTAGTTCCATGTGAGTATTATATAATTGAATTAAACTACTTCAGGAGAAAGGTGGACAAGTTTCATACTTCGGGTTTATGTGAACAAGTTTCATTAACATTATTAGATTGATGTTAATCAATCATATCTTGTTAGAGCAATTATCACGATTTTCTCCATTATGTATGCCTACACTAATGCTTTATATGATCTTATGATTTTCGTTAATGATATTAGGAGGTATGATAACTGTTGAATTATCCAAAGAATAAACAATCCAAGAATTCAAATATAGAAATCAAAATTAAAGATTCAGATGCAATCTCCCCACTTGTAATAAATGAACAAACATCACATAAAAGGTATATACACTATTTAAACCAAACACTCTACAAGATAATATACATGCATATATTGGTGATTTTGAATCTGTTCAAAGTTTTGATTTTTCTACCCTATATACCACATTGCCTCACATTCTCATTAAGAAAAAATTCACACACCTAATTAAATGGGCATTTAAAAAGTCAGAATGTGAATATATATGTTCAAACTCTTTTAGGTCATTTTTTAGTAGCAATAAACAAAAAAACTATGTCAATTGGACATGCTTTGATACTATATATGCCCTTGAATTTTTACTAGATAACATTTTTGTTCGCTTTGGAGATTCCGTATATCGTCAGGTTATCGGAATTCCAATGGGGACTAACTGTGCACCACTTATTGCGGACCTTTTTTTGTATTGCTATGAGTTACAATTTATGACAAAAATCAGTAAAGACCCATCGAAACAACATCTGATACACAAATTTAATAATACTTTTAGATATTTGGATGATATTTTGGCTCTCAATAATGACGACTTCAGTATGTATACTAAAGAAATTTATCCTGTTGAACTTACTTTAAATAAAGCTAATACTAACAATGACCACTGCCCTTTCCTCGATCTTGATATCTATATCATTAACGGAAAGCTTAATACTAAAATATATGATAAAAGAGATGATTTTTCATTTCCTATCGTTAATTATCCATTTTTAGATGGTGACGTTCCCTTGTCACCATCTTACGGTGTTTATATATCTCAACTTGTACGATTCGCTCGTGTATGTAACAATGTTTTAGATTTTAACGAGAGAAATTTATGTATTACTGAAAAATTATTACACCAGGGTTTTCGATATCACAAACTAGTCAAAACATTTACTAAATTTTATCATCGGTATAAGGACATCATTCGTAAATATAGCTCAACATGCAGACTTCTTATACGTTCAGGTATATCACATCCAATTTTTTATGGAAATATTCTTTATAAAGCACAAAAATGTCAGTATTCACCTCTGAAACTAACAAAACCTTTAAATAGACTTATCAAGAAGGGATATAGTTACGATACTGTTGTCAGGTCATTAAAGATTGCATATTTTGGCGTTAATATTGATTCACTTATAGGGTCTTTGCATCGGCACTAAACACATTTATTTAAAAACCAGTTGTTGGCATGACACGGGTTATGTTCTTCTCATATATGTTATGATGGTATGATACTAAACCCCTAACGGGAAGGATTGTGCCTGATATTCATATGATGAAGACATAATCTTTCAATCAGTTTAATTGAAGTCTGGAGCTGGCATGTCAGTTAACTGCTAGTAGTCTGTTGTTATTTATGTATTATTGTCATTTTGTTTATTTTCTTTGGTTACATCTTCTGACATCAGACTCGGACTTTTCTTGAACTGAATTTTAATGTGCGTATTGTTATGCGTTTACTTTTCTACATTGGCTAGAGGTATAGGGGGAGGGTTGAGATCTCATAAACATGTTTAACCCCGCCGCATTTTTGCGCCTGTCCCAAGTCAGGAGCCTCTAGCCTTTGTTAGTCTTGTATTATTTTTAATTTTAGTTTCTTGTGTACAATTTGGAGTTTAGTATGGCGTTCATTATCACTGAACTAGTATATATATTTGTTTAGGGGCCAGCTGAAGGACGCCTCCGGGTGCGGGAATTTCTCGCTGCATTGAAGACCTGTTGGTGACCTTCTGCTGTTGTCTGTTCTATGGTCGGGTTGTTGTCTCTTTGACACATTCCCCATTTCCATTCTCAATTTTATGTGTGATTAAATTGAGAATAAAGAGAGAATGTACAATATATTTTGTATAAAACATCACTGTTATACAATGTATAACAATGAGAGACCGAACTTCACATTGTGCATGAGTTAATACTTAGTGGTGATTGGTCACGAGTTGAATATTTTTCGCTATTTGAATTCTTTGATTAGTTATTCTTTTTATTACAATTTAAAAGTAAAAAAACGTGGCATGATTGTTCTCCACCTGAGACCTAATGACGTAAAAGTCAACCACTATAGGTCACTGTACGGACTTCAAAAATGAGCATAAACCCTACATCATACCAAGTTGTTGATTGCTTCCGGTTGAAAAGTTGAGAATGAATTAAAGTTTTATCTATTTCTATCAAATCTTTTACGACAATAAGATGTATTGATAATTGCTATAACGTTATAAAATATATTCCCTGATTTTTTTTGGATTTTGTTTTTTACATTTAAGGTATCCTGGTACTAATTTCCGTTTATCTTCTTCTCAGACAACTGTTTGATACATCAACGGTAGTAATGGATGGATGGATGAATGGATGGATGGATGGATGGAAGGATGGATGAATGGATGGATGGATGGATGGATGACCTGTTGGCTGGCTTGGATGGATGCATGAATGCATGGATGGATGGATGATAAAATATTGAATAATATACATTTAAATTATGTCTTTGCAGCATGTTCAGTTGTTGATTGCTTCCTGTTGAAAAGTTGAGAATGAATTAAAGTTTTATCTATTTCTATCAAATCTTTTACGACAATAAGATGTATTGATAATTGCTATACCGTTATAAAATATATTCCCTGATTTTTTTTGGATTTTTTTTTACATTTAAGGTATCCTGGTACTAATTTCCGTTTATCTTCTTCTCAGACAACTGTTTGATACATCAACGGTATTAAATTTACCAGTACCTTTATATAGGAGAGAAATGTCAACAACACATTCTGATGGAGTTAGAAGGAAAAAAAAGGGGTCAATTTGTCCTATTTTACAAGGTGGTCTCGGAAATCGATTGTTTCAATTTTCTACTACGTTTGCTGTTGCAAGGACGAAACAAATGGAGCTTATCGTACCTTCCGATGCTGAAATCCGAAAAGTGTTTGTAATTAATGTGACATCCAAAAATAGACCAAAAGGCTTATGTAAGGGGTTTCGAAAAGTTTTAGATAAAGCATCTCCGACATACAACAAAAGTTTACTAAATTTTAGTTCTGAAGATAACATTCAACTAGGATATGGACTTCAGTCCTGGAAATATTTTCACATGTATGATAAGGAGCTGCGGAGGCAATTAACATTTCAAAAGCATATTCAGAATACTGCAGAACAGACAATTGGGAAAATACTACAGAGACGAAAAATTACATCTCGGAAGAGTATTACTCTGGTAGGTGTTCATATCAGGAGAGGTGATAAGGTAGGAAACCATGACGGATTTAATATTGCTACACCCGAGTATTTAAACAGATCTGTGAATTATTACACTAAAAGGTATGCAGCTGTTATATTTCTAGTTATATCAGATGGCATGGCTTGGTCTAAAAATAATATGCCTTCTCATGTTCCTGTAGAATTTATATCCTTAGGGAAAAGAGAATTTGATATGGCAACTGCCGTTGCTTGTGACCATACAATCATGACAATAGGAACTTTTGGTTGGTGGATTGGTTATTTAACTGGTGGAGAAGTGGTTTACGTTAAAGATGCTGCAAAAAAGGGTTCACGATTTGAACGCATACTTAACTTTGAGGACCATTTCTATCCACAATGGGTAGGACTTTAATCAATCAATTTTTGATAAATGTTGATTTAATGTATTATCAGTTTATCCAGAAATATTGGAAATTAAGCATCATTGACCTTGAACGTCTTGAAATTCAGGTTTTAGAACACTAAAAGAGGAAAACAACCAAAATACGTAAAAGTGCCCTAAAACATCAAGTTTTCTTAATTGTTATCTTAATTTCAGTAATTACATAGTAAACTAACGATCTATCTAGATTATTTAAAATGCAGTGATCTTCAATTCAATGTACTTTTGTTAGTGTCAAGATTAAGAGATACAAGACTTGGTCAAACTAGCATTGGACAGATCTCCCAAAACGTACGAGTATTCGTAAGCAGTAGTTCAACGCTATCTCCACTGATTTTATGCATTGGTTTTGCATTCATCAGGTGTTTTCTTGGCTATTTCTATGTCTTTTCATAGATCACTACGTTAATTAAAGTGTGTTCCTCGGTGACAGCCAGATTGGATTTTCAGATAAGTAGTCAAAGCTCAAAACTAGTATAGTGCAGGGTTCAAAACTTGTTTTAACAAATTGCCCTTCGGGCAGTTTACCATGATACATGATTTGTCCTACAAAAATAACCACTTGTCCAAATGTTTAACTTGTTTGAGAAATTTCTACACTGTCATGTCTATACATAGACTCATGTAAAATTCAATTTCTATATATCCCGTATTCCGCCGAAAAAGTTCTCAAAAGTCATCTTTCATGCCATCTTAAATCGTAGTGGCTCGGGAAGTATATTTCAAAACATATTCTGCTCTCTATCCAATGATAACACTAGGAATAAAACAATTTTCACGTACCCCTGTGCTTAATCCAGGATTGATACTTATATGGCTCTAGAATATATTTAGGAACCGAAACCCTTTCTTTAAATAGAATAATGTTGAACGTTGGTAAAGTTGATACATAAATATTAGGTTTGGATTCCTTTATAAGCTAGATCCATTGTGTACTGATTGATTCTAATATGATTTGCATATCTACAAATTCATGAATCGGATTGGTCCGTTAGAATTGTTTCCCTTGGTTTACACCTTGATGGACCATGTTGCAGAAACTACTTTTTGAATTCGTAACTTTCAATGTGATCTTTTCATGCTCGATACATGGTATGGAACACCACAGCTGCCTTATGATAACAATAATCATATCATAAATGGTTGAGATATAACGTTAAGCAAACTTCTTACACTATAACGTGCGACATTTAACTATACATCTCTGTTTTGATATACCTTTTCATACTAATCTGTTATTTTACTTTTTCATGAAGATATTCTTTTATATTTAGAAGACATCTTGATATAACATGGAGTTACCTTTTCATACTGATTTGTCATTCCAGTATACTAATATTTGATATTGCTATATAACAAGTAATAGTTTTTCTAAAAAAGCTAGCCGTCGCTTAGCTGATGAAAGTGGAAAGTGTCCTCGCTTTGTAGATTAATTCATTCAGGATAGCCTTGCATATAAATCAACAAATTTTACCAAACACGTTATGAAGCAGTATTTTGTTTAATGTTGGGTGTCAAATAAGGTCCGTATCGTACTTATCCTTCAAAGCTTAACATACTGGATTGACATAATCTTTTGTGAGAGACTGTTCTTTTAAAATGCCAACAGTATTTTCGTATTTGAAATTTATAATTTTCTTTTATTTCTCTTTCTCTCATATAGCATATATATATATATAACCGTTTCGATTCCTAACATCACTGAAGAGACATTAATTGTCGAAATGCGGATATGGAGTACTAAAAATCTTTGCACCTTTGTTTGCGGTTTGCCATCTTTGCCACAAGTTTATTGTTTTCTGTTTGGTATTAAATTTATAGTTAAGATCCATTTATTACACCTTGTGATCCGTTAATTTGGCAATCGCCAATGGCAGTCAGCAGGATTTAAGAACATTTGTTGTTCGACCTGTTAGTCAAATGCGTTTTGTTAAAATATCCTTTTCACATTTTTGGTCTTTTGGAAAATGTTGTTTGTGCTGTATTTAGACCCCTCTAACAAGAAATTTGTTTTGCATGCACACGTATAAAAATTGCGGTTTTTTTTCAACGCAATCATAGGTTTGAACGTTGTTTTCAATTTAGACTTGTATATATATATATATATATATATATATACAAGTCTAAATTATATATATATATATATATAGTATAAATGGTCAATAAACATCAAAACAACTACTAGCAGTTTGTTCTTGACCATGCTCATTGTTTTAAGTAATATTAACTTTTTGATATTAAGATAAAAAAAATTTACATGTATTCACAACTATTCTATATATCATAGCTAGATTTGGGAGGATTAAAAACTTAAAATATTGTAATGACATGTATATTGTAGAAGACCGTAGGTTGAATTTTAGAAGTAAATTGTTTTGTTTGTTGTTTAATTGGGTTGCTGTCTAAATTAATTAGGTATACTTCATACCTCCTTTAAAATCATTCATAGAAATTATGCACTGCTCAAATATGATAGTATAGTTTTTACATGTATAATTACTTTTATCGTCTGGGAGTATTTTTTTTAATTCTTCTTATATTCCCCTTTGGATATTTTTGGGTCTTCTGTTCTTCATCGTCTGCTATTTTGATAGGAATAGCTAGGGAGAGATAGACAACGTTCAACCCAACCCAAATCCTGTTCTAAAGATCGGGGAGTGCATTTATCATACTTATCATTTGTATTGAGAGGTAGAATATGTCTTTATTTAAGCTTCATGATATTTGATGAGGTCGAGACATTTAGGTGATATAAGACAATTAGGTTGAAGATTGAATCTGAATCTGATCAGATGTCGATAAGTTTTTACAGATGCAATTAAAATCATGGTTGTAAATGCTTTACATATTTGTCAAACAATTTATTCTTCCATCATGAAATATCATAATCATGATTTACTTCAAGTTTTCTTATGTTTTCATGTATAAAATGTACGTAACAGTGAGCGACTGGATTAAATGTGAAACAATCACGTGTGTGTTTACAAAACTTCAGGAGGTTTGGCTTTTTATAGATAAATGTTACCTGTGTACCGATATGCATGATTGGTGACCAGGCAAAATCTAATTGCTAAAATAGAGAGTGCAAATCCGATACTCTACGGGATTGAAAGACATTTACTAGGTTTGGATTGTCCCAACCAATCAACGATTTTAATTATTAACGTCTCAGTAATATCTTCCGATCCGGTAGTAAGAAGCATTCAGCCCGCAGACTGTCCATCGTTCAACTCTTAATAACGTCCCCGAGGAGACGTTAATAAACATGATAAAGATACATTTTATGCTTTAAACACATCTTAATATAACATTGAGCAACTTTTTCATACTATTTGGTCACCTCACTATGCTATTATACCATGTTACTATCTTATTACCATATTTGTATACTATTCAATCATTTTGATATACTAGGGAGCATTTTTTTCATACTATTCTGTCATATTATTTTCTTGCGACGATAAAGTCGTATACTCCAAAGACATCTTGGTATATTATGAAGCCACCTTTTCATAATATCTTATCACCTCACTATGATATTCTGGCAGATTACTATATCATAACTATACATCTTTATACTATAAAGACGTATTGGTATAACAGTAATGCTGGCCAAGGAATATAAATAAATTGGCGCAAGATATTTGTTTACGTAGAATTTAATAAATTCGAGGTGAAATTGGCGGGTGAACAATTGCTTCCCCTTTCTTATATGAAAAAAGTCTATAACTCGGGAAGGAAAAAAGGAAAAATCCGAAATTCACCAAAATTATATAGTCCATTAGAGAAACATAAAGTATTTCAGTGATAAGGTTTGTACTAATCTTGTTAGTTTACACAATATACAGTTCGGCTAATGAATGATATGCAACTTCCAAAAAAGAAAATAATATGGAATAGAATCCGAGTTACAGGATACCTGTCCAGTACCCATGAATGAAATAAATCTACCATCTTTCAAATGGGATATTGTACCGAGATGAAAATAATGTAAGTTGCTTAAAATTGTAGTATATCTAAAGTGTATTCATTAAACTTTCAACTTCATTTAAATTTTAAATGATTCTGTAATGTATAGGGTGGATGATTGTCTGAGTAAATTGTCCAAATTTTATTTTCGATTATAACCAGGAAGTTAATTGAAATTTTGCAGTCTACTATAGGGAATACAAAAATTGCCCCTCAATTTGAATACAATTGCATTGAAGTAATGGGGGAAATAATTGAGTCCCCGTTCCATATGATATATTATAAATTTTAGTTTAGATAAATAATTTTTTTCTGCAACATAAGTGTGGAAGTTTTTACATTTGCCTTCTTTATTTGTCAACATTTCGTAATATTGAAGAAATTCATTATTAAAAATTTCAAAAACATTAATTTGTTTTGCTTTCTGCTTGGATATATAATATACATTATATACAGTAAAAAGTATAATTGTTAGAAAATCGTTGATACTGCAATAATTTGTATCGTTTATCTTGTATCCATACAAAAATGATGCCAGATATATTATATGATGCCTTATTTAAAGTTTATGAGTATTAGTTTTATTTGATCCCAAAATAATTTCAGATATTTGCATGTCAAAATGTAATGTTCATTATCTTCAATGACATTGCATATATTACATAAAGGAGTTTTAGTTATTTTCCAAGAGAAAAAGTCATTGTTTGGTTGGTAAAATGTAATGTAGAAATTTCCAACTTAACATTTTCAATTTATTATCTTGGATATAATTAAAAAAAAAACAACAGTGTTTGTTCTCTTTTCCTTGTATTTTTATCTAAATTTAGTATTCTGTCTAATATTTTAAGTCCTATTGCCTTCTAATGATATCTATTTGGAAGGGAGATGTAAAATTCTTTATGGGGTTTATATATCCCAACTTGTTCGATTAGCTCGTGTGTGTAACAATGTATTTGATTTTAACGAAAGAAATCTCTATCACTTAAAAATTATTGCACAAGGGTTTTCGATATCACAAATAGTCAAAATATTTACTCAATTTTCTGTACAAAGACATCATTTGTAAAAATAAATCAACATGCATACATCTTATAGGTTCAGGTATTTCACATCCATTCTTTTATGGATATATTCTATTCAAAGCCAAAATGTCGTTATTCACATATAAAAGCTAACCAAACCTTTAAACAGACTTTTTCAGGAGAGATATATTACGATACTGTTGTCAGTTCA